AAATTATATTCCTCAGACTCCTCTAACAATCCTTTCTCAAGTGCAGACATATTCATCTTTTGCTCCTTGGATTGGACAACACACAAGACTACATGACAAGCTATCAAAAACTGAAGTTTTCAAAGGTCTCTCAAAGTGAAAGGGTGAGCTCTGTATGCCGTGAAAGCCAGGACGTTAATGAAGACCAGATTTTACAAATACTGGACTCTAAATCGGTAAATATTTATACCTGTAGTCTCACAGTATTCATGTAAGCACTCAATGTATCGCTATGAACTTTTTTTCCCATGAACAACACTAACAGATAGTAATTTCTCCACAGCACAAAAGAGAAGACCTGGTGAAGGCATGCAACTGTCTTGGAGTGTCAACAACTGGCTCACAAACAGACCTTATAAACAGGCTGGAGGAACTTCTCCTTTATAAGGAGGTTTACCCCAAAATGTTTGTAAAGCTGAAAAAAGCTGGAGGTACGATATTGTTTTTCAGTGTCAATAATTCTTTTGTGTAGTATAATTTTGTTACTTATCTTGTTTAAGTACCATCATCTATGCAGAAAACCTGTATGTAATTTGTCATTCTTGTCACTTTAACACAGGTGGAGTATTACACATGGGCTGCACCCATGGTGTTGTATATTATACATCACCATTATGGTGGCAAGAATCTGCACGGGACCACGGGGATGCCCTGCTAAGTTTTAAATATCCCCCCACTGTGTACATCTGACATCGCTGGACGTGTTGCCAGGCATGTTAATAATAGTACGCAACAGAGATTTTTCCAGCCAAATGACGGAAGGGTATGTGCACCAACGGACACAAACATATCACTAGCAGCTGCAGGAAAGTTAACGGTAAATCTTGAGTGGTTAAAGAAAATCAGGAGGAAACCAAGACATGCAGAAGAACCCAAAGAAATGGACCAATTCTCATGTCCACACCCTGAGACAGGGACATCAGACCGGTACTCACTGTATGACAGATTTCAGCAAAAAAAACAAAAGCGTCCTGAAGAGAGACTGCGTAGTCTGAAACTGATTCCAGATCTGGCTTGTCTGATTAATTCTTCAGCAGCAGAACAAATAAACAGAGAGCTTTCCTCAAGTCGGTACTCACTGTGTCAAATGAAGGACATCCACTACATGTTCTCACTACGTCTGTTTTTTCACCTGCACAACTGTGTCAAATGAAGGACATCCACTACATGTTCTCACTACATCTGTTTTTTCACTTGCACAATGAAAGACTGAATAGCTCCTTCATGAAGGAAATGGAAAAACAGAGTACAGCAGAGGCCATACGCATTGGATTAGATGGCAAACTGATATGTGGCCAAACAGGTAAGAACGTGAAGATTAAAAATTACACTGTAACATGAAATTTATTAAAAAGTTTGCCACTTTATTTATTAATGTTATGTTACTATTTCTCAATTAATTACAGGAACACACACAAGAAAAACTGACAACAGTCAACAGAAGTCCAGAAGTCCTCAGGCTCCAGTAAAGGGGGACAGTCTACTGACAGTGCTACTGTGGGTGGCTACTGTTTTTCAGTGGCAATGTTTCCAATTAATGAGAAAAATAAGGTAACAAGTGTGCTGGTTAGCACCACTGACACATGTCAGTAGTAATAATATTTACTAGTAATAGGAATATAAAATCATGAACACATCTTCTGCATCATTAGGACAAAATCAGACAGCTGTATGCTGTTGAGAAGAGAGAGCATGATGTCATTGCTAAAATATCTCGTTACGCCTCGCTGGAACTACGTGATCTGAAAGTCTGTGCCCACCCGATCTCTTGAAAGACACCAGTAGCCAACTGATGCCATGGCTATATGACAATGTAAGTACCAATTATGGTTACCTTATGATTTTAATATTTAATAATGATTAAATTTACTTGATTACTCAACTTTAATATTTAATAATGATTACATTTACTTGATTACTCAACTGTCACATACCGATAACTGTCACCTTATATAAGATGTACAAGTAGATATGGAAATACACAATCTATTTGAATACTCTTTCTTACTATGCATCTTCATATTTTGCTTTAAAGACAGTAAATTGTCGGATTGCACAAATTGCCTCAGAAAACCAGAATGTAAGTAACTGCTTCAGAATCTATACTTTTTTTCACTAGTTTTAATCATTTTCATATACATGCAAACAAGCATTATGAGCAGATGAAAGAAGTGCAATTTATAAGTAATTTTGTTCTATCCTCAGGTTGCAGCCTTGACAACTGACACA